AGAATTTCGTTGACTTAATCAAACCGGCATCATGTGATATTGTTTACGCATTCGACCTGTTTAAATGTGACTCGCAAGCGTTCTATCTGACACTTTACCGAGGGAGATTTAATAGATAATTACACAGTTATAAGAAGTAAAAACAGTGCGGTCTTGGCCAAAAGATTAAAAGTAATATATATATAAGAAAATACAAACTTAACCTGTTATTGAACTTCTACTAAAAGATGATCATCAACAAAATGGGAGAACTAAAGCAACGGTCATTTCTCTTGCTATAATGTTGGCAGTCGGAGGTAACGTTGTTATTAGAGGGCAATCGGTTTGATGGTTCTGAGATTGGTTTCCCAATTTTTTGGGCTGTGTTCTGAGCTGTGACTGCTTCCCTATAAATTACCCTAAATCTTAGCTGGAACACTAGTTTCAAAAATTTCAAAATTCCCAGACCAAGCCTGTACATCAGACGTCAGTCCAACTTTGTCAGCGTCTGCATGGCGATTGCAGTCTCCGGCAGAGCCATTGGACACGCGCAAGGAGACGTAGCGGTATAGTTCGAAGCAGTGGCACTACCAAATCTGTCTGCTCCACATTAGTTGTTGGATTTTCGTCGAGTTCAACCGAAGTATTTTGGGTTTAAGACACTGATAGCACGCTTTTCTTGGGCTCTGTCAGTGTGTGCTCTACAGCGCGAGTGCTAACCGAAGTTGAGACAGTGGTGCAAGCGGTAAATCTAAATACCGCTCCAGGCGTCATTCATTTCAGTGCCAGAGAAAGCAATGTTTGCCTGACAGCGCAATACCTCATTTCACTTTGATGAAACGTAATATTTCGTGGTGGCAAAAAGGCTTATACATGAGCAACGGAGTCTTATAATGGAATAGGTATGCGAGACTCTGAACCACCTACTTTAAGTGCATACATAAATCCTCAGAAGACCAGTACTGTACCCTTTACAACAAGGCAAAAATCAATCGTGTCTATGGAATAGGTTAGATATTGCTATAGCCACACTGAGCATGGTGAAATGTCGAATAGGTGGTTAAGTGATCTATCGGATTATGTCTTAGGCATCCGTAGTATGATGGCAGAAGACATTGTATAAAAATATGTCATTAAAAGGTCTCGCAATGTTACGAAGTGCTAAAGCTGGGATAACACGATTTGTACATTTGTACAGATTTGTCCATTTTCATCGTTACAGATTGTTTGAAAAGTTGTTATTGAGCTGAACCCATTCTATTTAAAAATTTCTTGACAAGACCACTCTGTGACTGCCAAATGTACAAATATAGAAATCGTGTGATCTCTGCTTAACAGAGCGATTTCCATATTTTTAAGCAGCTGGCGTATTAGACCTTGTGAGGAAGCGTTGGATTTAAAGATAATTCAAAAGCCTATCTAGGAATTTTTACTAGAAATAACAAAGAGCTAAAGTTGCTTGGGTTAGTATGGTAGGCTCTGTATGCCGAACCAAACAATCAATCATCCTCAATCATCCTCATGAGCGTTTTAAAAAATCATTGCCAATTGTCACCCATGAACTGATCTGCTGTTACATAAGAACAGAACTCAAAGTAAAGCAATTGATAGAAGTACGGTATTGTGGATGGTGTGAAAAATTTTCACAATTTAAATATAAAACACAAGTTTCGTCTTGTTTTCTAAACAAAAAATGGCTTTTATACAGTATACCCTTATAATGCTGATGGACCACATCCTTCCCGCAATAGAGCTTTTTAAGCTTTCATATCAAATCTGTTTAAAGCTTTAAAAAGCCGGTCAGAGGGGGCTTTTACTCTATTCCCATCCATATAAAATCTATGCAAAGCTTTAAAAGAACTTTCAACGCGGGATATATTTTGGTTGTGACTGAGCTATGCACAAACATACATACGCTCTGAGAGACGCTTTATTCCATGGAGTGAAAATAACCGTTATTTTTTCGATGTTATAAAAGTCCGGTGCAAAATATTGTCGTAGAAGAAAGTTATCAATGTTCCTTTGTTCCCAGGACATTCCGGACAAGAATCCTGGATTTGTTTTTATTTTTCGCAAGTTTTGGGAAACAATCCAATTAAAACTGAAAAATCCTGAGTTTTATTGTCCAGTAATAACAGTTAAACTTGGCCAAACATTTTTTAAGGCCGAAATAAAAGTCCTTTCTTAATAATAAACAAACCGCCTAACGCAATTAAACAAATTTCATACCAAGAAAAAGAGAACTGAAAAAGCCTTCAAACTAGGGCTGTGCGATTATTCGATTACTCGAGCAAGTTGGTTAATCAA